CCACCGAAGGCGCCAGTGGCGCAGTTCGCATGCGTCCCGGCTCCGATTTCGGCGCGCCCCTCACACGTTTGGTGGCCCCACGGGGAGCTCCACCTAGTGGCGCAATTCCCATGCCTCCTGGCCATACCCCTGTCGGCACACCCTTTCATGTTTCGTGGCCCCATGTGGAGTTCCACCTAAGGTCCCCGTGGTGCAGTTCGCATGCGTCCCAGCCACCCACGTCGGCACAATCCTCGCACGCTTCGTGGCCTCATACTGAGCTCCACCGAAGACGCCAGCGGCGCAGCCCACATGCGTCCCGAGGCCTGCGGAGCGGCCCGCCCGAACCTCGCCTTCTGTCGACTGCTCCAATGTTTGGCCTCGCGCCGCGGACGACCCGCGCGCGTCGCTGGAACCCTCTCGGGGCGACCAGCGCGCGGCGCGGGAACTCTGTGCTGCGCTCTGCCTAGCGCCTCGCTCGCCCATCGTCGCCCTGCCTAGCGACCGGAGCCCTGCCCGCTATCAGCCAGCCAGCTAGCTCTCTGTGCATCGCGCCGCAGACGACCCGCGCGCGCCGTCGGGACCCCCATCGGGAGGACCGGCGCCCGTCACGGGGACTCCGTGCTGCGCTGCGCCCGCAGGTTTGGGCATTGGGTTTCACGGGCAAACTAGGGGAACAAAAACGGGAAACTGGCGCAATCCGCGTGAGGTGCGTGCCGAAATTGGCGTGAGAGCGCACGGCGCTGCCATAGGGTTTTTCGGTGGGGCCCCCTGCGGCGGCCACGCTCCGTGTCACGAGTTGTCATAGTTTAGAAGGTCGTCCCTATCGTAAATTCTCGGATCGCAGATTTTCTCAACGACGTGGCCCACGTTACTAGGCGCATGTTTCTCATTCTTCGTGGTCCCACAAGGAGATCCACCGAAAGCGGAACAAACAAGGACGACATTCACAATTGCGCATGGTTGGGTCCTTTCGGCAAGCGAATTATTTCCCGCGCGCGCTCCCGAAGCCGAACCGATACCTTGAACCCCTTGCATCCTCTTTAAGCAGAACGAAACAAACGGACAACCCTAGTAGTAGTAGTAGTAGTAGTAGTAGTAGTAGTAGTAGTAGTAGTAGTAGTAGTAGGAGTAGTAGTAGTAGTAGTAGTAGTAGTAGGAGTAGTAGGAGTAGTAGGAGTAGTAGGAGCAGTAGGAGTAGTAGGAGTAGTAGGAGTAGTAGGAGTAGTAGGAGTAGTAGGAGTAGTAGGAGTAGTAGTAGTAGTAGTAGTAGTAGTAGTAGTAGTAGTAGTAGTAGTAGTGGTAGTAGTAGTAGTAGTAGTAGTAGTAGTGGTAGTAGTAGTAGTAGTAGTAGTAGTAGTCCTTGTAGTAGTAGTCGTAGTAGTAGTAGTAGTAGTAGTAGTAGTAGTAGTAGTAGTAGTAGTAGTAGTAGTAGTAGTAGTAGTAGTAGTAGTAGTAGTAGTAGTAGTAGTAGTAGTAGTAGTAGTAGTAGTAGTAGAAGTAGTAGTAGTAGTAGTAGTAGTAGTAGTAGTAGTGGTAAGTAGTAGTAGTAGTAGTAGTAGTAGTAGTAGTAGTAGTAGTAGTAGTAGTAGTAGTAGTAGTAGTAGTAGTAGTAGTAGTAGTAGTAGTGCTGGTAAGAAACTCCCTTGATCACCCCTCGTTCCCCGGCTCTGTTTCCGCCTCCTCCTCCCTCGTCATCGTCCTGGTGGAGGAAGGGGGGAAGAGCAGGAGATGGACGAGGATGATATTTCTGGATTGCCAAACCTTTCAGGGTGGATGATCTGGGTGAGAACCATCAGATCTTCACAAGGCGAAGGACACTCAAGTGGAATCCACTGGTTGGTTGTGTCCTCCCAATCCCCGTCTGGGGGCAGCAGGAGAAGGGCGAGAGGAGAAAGACTCCCCATGTCCTCGTACCATTAGACAGGGGCTCCCGTTGTATCTCCTCCTCTTCATGCTCTTGTTTCCTTCTCCTCCTCCTCCTCCTCCTCCTCCCAGATGAGCACGCCCAGGAGGACGGAAAACATATTGGCAGATTGCACGGCCTTTCGTGGTGGCTGGTTTCAGTAAGACCAATGAAATTAAAGTGACAGGGTGAAGGATATTAAGTGGAAACCAATCGTTGGCTGGGGGACCGCATGTGGTCCCCCCTCCCCTGGGGACTTCGGTAAAGCTCCCTATGGGGCCACGCAGCGTGTGAGTAGTGTGCCGAAATGTGCATGCGGAGGGCAGAGGCAAGGAGAGGAGGATGGGGCAGCGGGAGGGAGGTGCGGTGACGCGGCGCGCCCTCGCTCTCTTCAAAACGAGGACCCAACACCACAGGATGGTTGGGGGTAAGAAGAGCGGTGGGGAGAAGGGAGGATGGGGGACGAAGAGACCGGGGGGGGGGAAGGGGGAGGAGGCCGGCCGCGGCTGGCACAGAGCGAAGAAAGCCCCCCCACCACAAATTACCCGCAGGCCTGGCTGCTCGCCCCTGGGCTCGGCTCGTCCGGCCGCCAGCAGCCGTCCACCAGCTGCTCCCTGGCTGGCCGGCGCCGACGACGATGGCGATGATCATGATGCTACTGATGGCGACGACGACAGTGGCAATGACAGCGATGATGATGATGATGATGATGATGATGATGATGATGATGATGATGATGGTGATGATGATGGTGGTGGTGGTGGTGGTGGTGATGATGATGATGATGATGGCGACGATACTGATCGCGATGATGATGCTGATGACGATGATGATGATTATGACGACAATGATTATGCTGATGGCGATTATGATGATGCTGCTGCTGATGATGATGATTATGGCCACGGGTGGGCCATGACGACGAGGATGGTAAGGATGAGGGTAAGAGTGGTGATGACGATGATGATAATGATGATGATGCTACTGAGTTTGATTGTGACGAAATGCCTGGTGAGTGTGATGATGCTGCTGCTGCTACTGCTGCTGCTGGTGATGATGTAAATGCCGATGATGGTGTTGCATTTTCATGAGGACGATGACCACGGATCGGCGATGTTCATGATGCTAGCTGTTGATGGTGATGATCACGATAGTGATGATTCTGATACTGTTGATGATGATGGCGATGATAATGCTGATGGTGATGCTGATGTTGATGCTGATGCCGAAGGTGATGATGGTGATGATGATGGTGATGATGGTGATGATGGTGGTAAGGGGAGGGCCGATGACGAGAGAACAGATCGTCCTACAATTTTGCTGGACAAGCTGAAATTAATCGCTTAGGGCCTGACCGAGGCCTGGACACACAAGAAACTCTCGAGAGAGCTTCGCCAGACAGCCTGGCCTTTGCCATCGACGCCTTGCGGGCCGACATCATTGCGGCATCGAGCGGCTGAGCTCCGGCAACGCAGGCTGCGCCCAGACTGCAGTGACGGGCTGGCGGGTGAATCTCTGGGAGGAGATCCCTTGCAATCATCATGCTACCATACCCAGACATGTTCGCGTCGTGAATGTACCACGACGGACACTTTTTGGCCGCGTTCGGCCTCCAGGGGCCCTCGAAGGGCCCCAGGACCGTCAAATTATCCCAGTGCGACCCTACCTAGGAATTGGAGCATCTAGGAAAACAACATTAGTAGGAGCGGTAAACGCCGTCCGCCTCCTTCTCCTCATCGTCGTAGTTGTAGTAGTGGTAGTAGTAGTGGTAGTAGTAGTAGTAGTAGTAGTAGTAGTAGTAGTAGTAGTAGTAGTAGTAGTAGTAGTAGTCGTAGTAGTAGTAGCGCCAGAACCGCCGACGCCACGCCGTAAGTGAAGCAGCAGCAGAAGCAGGCAGCAAGTCGCCGATACAGCAGCAAAAGCAAGCAGGCACGGAGATGAGGGCGGGGCACTGGGGAGTTCTTTACATCTACATATATATATATAGATCTACACCTACATCTACATCGACACATACATCTACATCTAGACCTACAGCAATAGTTGATGCTGTGCTGCGCTATGCTATGCTATGCTATGCTGCGCTATGCTATGCTGCGCTATGCTATGCTATGCTATGCTTTTGCTTTGCCTTCGCTTTTGCCTTCACTTTTGCCTTTGCTTTTGCTTTTGCTTGGCACCCAGGGAGCGCAACTGGGGGAACCGCGCGTTTGCTTTTACCTTTGCTGTTGCTTTTGCTTGGCTCCCAGGGGACTGGGGGAACCGCCCGGGGCGGTTTGCACTGCCCAGCCCCTTAAAGCCAAGCGAGTAAGAACCCTTCTAGGCAGAGCCTGGGTATGGAACAACAAATCGGAATGAAAAAGAGGCCCTGGGTAAAAGGCCAGGACTTCCGAGGACCCAGTATTTACAATAGTCAAGGCGCCGAACGTTTGCATATGGAGCGCTGAATAAGGAACCAGTGGGCTTTTCTGGCTAGCCTCGGCCACGGACAGGCCCCCCGGCCTAGATCTCAGGAACGGCCCACAAACCAGAGCCTCTCCCGAGCCCGAAGTGGTCTGACTGTGCAGCGGTATGACTGTGCCGAGAGACGGCCCGCTCCCCAAACACCGCCACCGTCCCCGCCACGTCCGCGCCCACCTCTCTCCTCCTCGTGCACCTCGCCTGCGTCACGCGCCACGGCCGACCCGCCGCGCCGCGCGCTGCGCGTGAAGTCGCCGCAGGACTCTACCTCTCGATCGCTGACTTGCTGCAGCGGGCGCAGGCGTAGGCGTCCAGCGTGGTCTCTCTGGTGGCGCCAGTAGCTCGGGCGAAGCCTTTCTGTAGGCGAGGTCGGGCACCACGATGTCCCGCGCTGCGATCTTGGACAAGCTGGGGGAGCCAGTGCCTCCTCTTTGCCGTCTGATAAATGACTCAGAACGACGTGGTTTGTCGGCGCCCCCCAGCCGACTTTCGCACGGATTCGCGTGCCCTCCCAGGCCAGTCAGCCTCATGATCAGTAGCGCTCCCCCCGCGCAATCCTCGACGACGATGACAGAGCTCTTCGTTTGAATACCGTCAGCCCGCATCTCGAACTCGACTGCGCTCGTGATCGCCTTTCTGCAGAAAGCTGGCCCATCTACCAAGTGCCGTTCGGACTGTCGGTGTTGTGGAACCTCCCGATGCGCGATGCGAAGCCAAAACCAATGGCGCATGTCAAAACTATCTCCTCTGCATGCAAAGTCCCTGGCCCGTACGCGTCCTGAGGCTTGGCAAGGCACGCGTACTCCTCGAGCTTCGGGTCAATACCGTCAATTTGTCTGTCCTTGCTGTATACGCGAGCGGTCGATGACTATAATCACCTTGCTCCAGTGGCACGCGCCGGCTCAAGGCAATTGAGGCTGAACATCGTGTTGGCGTATAGCAGCACAGACTGAATATTATTCGATGCAGCCCATGCCGCCCACGGGGGGATCTCGAGACCTGTCCAGCAACCTGAACGCGTGACAGTGTCCCTCGGTCTTGAAGTACTCGTTGTGCTTCCCTTGAGCCACGGTCAAATGGTAGGCGAAATCCTTCAAGACCTTCCCGAATCACGAGCCAATGAAGCCACCACCGTCGCAGGCGCACACGTTACGCTAGGTCTCTGAGTAATGCAATGGCACCCCCGATACTGGTGCTTGGGATCGCTGTTGCAAACCTTTTTGCCCATGGCCTTCACCTTGCCCATCACATCGCGGAAAACCATTCGGCGGACGTGATACGCGAACGAAGAAGCTGTCCAGCAGCGGGGGAGCCCACCTGACTCTCAAGTCTTGAGCCAGCATTGATTCAAATGCCAGGGGGATGACGATGCTTTCTATGATGGTCGCGATGACGCCGACGCCGGTGATCAGGATGCCCATGACAACAGCGAGGACGATGACGTAGACGACGCCGACGATGAACATTACTCTAGAGGCTGCCCCGCTAACCGCTGACTGCCAGATGACTGAGAAAGACAATTGTAATGTTGAGAGGAAGGGGCTGGGAAGATTCAGGGCACGATTGTGTAAGAAACACGTGCAACACACGCGAAACTACGGATGATCAGATCATTTCTCCCAGCCCCATCCTTCAAACCTGGTAAGTGTCTTCCTGTATAATGAAAGCTGATGGTGTTGTTGATAATGATGGCGATGATGATGGTGATGATGATGACGACGATGCTGATGATGATGCTGCTGATGCTGATGATGACGATGTCGACGACGATGGTGACGACGATGATGACGATGAGGATGACGCTTATGAAGATGATACGGAGAATGGTACTGAAGATGATGACGATTATGCTGCTGATGATGATGATGATGCTGCTGATGATTCTGGTGATGATGACGATGACGCCCGCGGTTATGATGATCCCGACGATTATGATGATGCTGATGATGATGGTAATGAATGTGATGGTGATGCTGATGATGATGCTTATGATGATGCTGCTGCTGATGATGCTAATGCTGATGAGATTGATGATGACGCCGACGGTCAGAAAACTGATAAGGATGTTGATGGCGAAGACGATGATATTGCTGCGGCTGATGACGATGCTGAATTTCCTCGAGGTATTCTCGCCATGGTGTTGATTGTGATACTGACCCAAATCTCCAATGTCGTGTTTCTAACTCACAACGTCGAGCCCCAGAGCCGTGACCGACTTGCCATGTCGAATCGTTTTTCGATGGTCCAGGGACCCTGTATGGGGCTCCCCGAGTTCAAACAATTGGCAAACAAAGGCCGTCGTGTCTTTCCACGGCGCGGGGAGGTCTGGGGACGACGGAGGCGACAGGGGGCGCATCCAGCCGATGTCAATGTTGAGATGACGTGGCGCTTCTCTGGCATCGGGGAAGCGGGTCCTGGACCCTGGGGCTTCCCCCAGGGACCAACTCTTCATTCCGCACAAGCTTTTGAAGGCCATGGGTCCCCTTTGGGGGGCTCCGGAAACTTGGAAACGGCGGACAAAAATAACAGGATCCCTCAGGACACCTTTCCTTAATGGCGATCCCCTGGCATTTCCTCAAAGACAATCGACGACGTGATATTTCTTATGCGTGGCCCCAGAGCTCCCTTCCCCTTCCCCGTTGGGTATGTTTTCGTTCCCGATTCATGTTTGATGGTCCCAATGCCCAACAATTGGCCCTCTGGAGGCCGAAAACTATGAAAAACGCCGCGACTAGAAAAATCAGATCGCCGGAAATTTGGACCCAGGACCCCTTCTGGCGTGGACTTACCTGGTTCAACGCACACCTGGGGCTCAACCGATTAAGAAAAACATGCGCTGACTTTCCAGGGGGCTTCCCAAACCGGCTCAGCCAATGTGTGAGGCCACCTCCAGGGCCGCGAGCGGCTCCCAGACCTGGCTCAGCCCAAATCCGACTGTGCAAGATCCTGCAACATCTGGCGCTTTGGCTGGGCCCGTTTGCGCTGAACACCGTTGGTTACCTGCCGGCTAATCGTGGCGATTCCGGCCCGGGGGTGGCCTCAAATCCAGGGTGTCGAACCTGCAGTGCTGGCCGAGACCCGGCGGGCTCAGCGGGCTCAGGTCGAGGTCGCCCTCGGGCTGCTCCGCGCCTGGCGACTGGTCGCTGCTACCGCTCGCCCTTGTGACCGTCCTTGTCGCCCAACCGTCGTCGTTCTCGTCATCGTCATCGTCATCGTGGTCGTGGTCGTGGTCGTGGTCGTGGTCGTCGTCGTCGTCGTCGTCGTCGTCGTCGTCGTGGTCTTGGTTGTCGTGGTCGTCGTCGTCGTGGTTGTCGTGGTTGTCGTGGTCGTCGTGGTCGCGGTCGCGGTCGTCGTCGTCGTCGTCGTCGTCGTCGTCGTCGTCGTCGTCACTGTGGTCGTCGGGATTGTGGTCGTGGTCGTGGTCGTGGTCGGGGTGGTCGTCGCCGTCGTGGTCGTGGTCCTGGTGGTCGTCGTCGTCGTCTTCGTCGTGGTCGTCGTCGTGGTCGTGGTCCTGGTGGTCGTGGTCGCGGTCCTGGTCGTGGTCGTGGTCGTGGTGGTCATCGCCGTCGTGGTCGTGGTCCTGGTGGTCGTCATCGCCGTCGTGATCGTGGTCGGGGTGGTCGTGGTGGTCGTGGTCGTGGTCGTAGTTTCGATTGTGGTGGTGGTGGCAGTCGTCGTCCTGGAAGATCGAGGTATTATCAGTTCTCTTGGGTGCCGCCAGTGACTTCCCGAGGCCTGCTCCCCTCGTCCCTCATCCGCTCCTCGCTTCCCCTCCTCCTCCTGCTGCTGCTGCTCCTCTTCGTCACGCTCTCTCCCCCCCCCTCCCTCCTTCTGATCGTGCTCCTCCCTCGCTCCTCCTGCTCCTCCTCCTTGTCCCTCCTCCACCTTCTCCTCGTCCTCCGCATCATCCTCGTCCTCCTCACATTCTTCCTCCTCTTCCCTCTCCTCACCGCTTCTCCTGCCTGTACTCCCCCTTACCTCTCCTCCTCCTCCCCCTCCTCCCCCTCCTTCTCCTCCTCCCCCTCCTCCCCCTCCTTCTCTTCTCTTCCTCCTCCTCCTCCAACTTCTCCAACCTTACCAACTTATCCACCTCCTCCTCCTCCGCCACCACTTTCCCTTCTGAACAACTCCCCCCTGCCGCATCCCCAGGCGTGTCGGCAGGGCGGGCCGGCCTTTTCGTCCCAGAGCTGCCTCACTAGTGATGATGCTGAACCTTGAGCTTTGCAAGAGCTACACGGATGGAAGGCGGGTTCTTTTTACAATGTGGCTCTCGCCTTAGCGCCGCGCGCATTCGTCTTAAGCGTTTGCATCCGTTTGAATGGTGGGGGTCGGGTGGTTTTCAAAGTGTGGCTCTCACATAAGGGCCGCGCACACTCGTCTGACAGTTTGCAGCAGTTTCAAGGAGGTAAAGCGGGTGGTTTCCAACCTGTGGCTCTCGCCCTTGCGCCGCGCGCATTCGTTTAAACAAACGGTGATTGTTTCAAGGATGGAGGGCGGTTCCTTTGCAAAGTGTGGCTCGAGCCCTGTCGCCGCGCGCATTGGCTTTAAACATTAGTAGCAGTTTCAAACCGTCGTCGTGTTAAAATCCCAAGAAATGTGTTCTGGCACGACTTCGGATTGTCAGGGCGCAACAGTCACGTTGATCTGCGGTGTTGAAATCCCAAGACGGGCGTTTTGGCACGATTTCAGATTGTCAGGGCGCAGCAGTCATGTTGATTCGCGGTGTTGAAGTCCCAAGGCCTTTGTTATGGGACGGCTGCAGACTCTCAGATGGTTGTCTTTCAATGGGGCACTTATTGCAATGCAAATAAATTCTTGTAGTCATCTGTGAAGGGGGAACTTGTAGATACACGTCGTTTATTTTTAATCGTGCTCATTTCTAATAGTGCTCGTTTCTAATTGTTCCTGGCCCTCTAGTGGCCAGGAAGCGGCCCAGGATAGAACAATTTGGAATGAAAAGATCTTGGCCCCCCCAAAATCAAAGAACTTCCTAATACGTAGAAACTAACCATGTGTAGGGTTTCTTGCAGCATCGTTGGTACGCCTTCAGTGTATACTGGTCCTCTCCCCCTTTCACCCTTTACCGATCTTGCGGCCGCGCGGTCTCGCCCGCGCTTCCACCCCCGCCTGGGCCACGTGGGAACAAGCGGTCTAACATCCTCCTCCTCTTCCTCCTCCTCCTCCTCATCATCATCATCATCATCCTGATCATCATCATGATCATCATCGTCCCCCTTCCTCCTCCTCTTCCCCCTCCTCCTCCTTTATCTCTTTTTTTTTATCTCCTCCGCCTCCTCCTCCTCCTCCTCCTCCTTCTCCTCCTCTTCCCCAATTCCCCTCCCCCGTGGATGCTCGGGCGGACTGCGACGACAACCCGCGGCGGCTATTTTTAACATCCGCGCTCCCCACGGCGCCCCGCGGGACGCGCAAAGCGAGGACGAAACGGGTGACTCGCTCAGCGTGCCTTCCCGCGCCGGTCCTGCGGGGGGGGAGACGCAGACCTCCTGGCGCTGCTTTTTCCCAACCGTCTTGTGGTGTTGGGTCCTCGTTTTGAAGACGATCCCCGCGTTCTCCTCCTTCCTCCTCCCCCCCTCCTCCCACTTCCCACTCATCCCTCTACTCCCTCCTCCATCCCCCCCCGCACGTTTCGTGGCTCCATAGGAGCTCTGCTGAAGGTCCCAGTGGCACAATTCGCATGCGTCCCCGCCACTCATTTCGGCACACCCGTCATGCGTTTCGTGGCACCATAGGAGCTTCGCCGAAGGCCCCAGTGGCACAGTTCGCATGCGTCCCCGCCACTCATGTCGGCACACCCCTCACACGTTTCATGGCCCCATAGGAGCTCCGCCGAAGGTCCCAGTGGCACAGTTCGCATGCGTCCCCCATCCTCCCTCCCTATCTTTGCCCTCCGCATGTCCATCATTTCAGTCCAACCAGTACAACGTTTCGTGGCCCAATAGGGAGACCCGCCGACAACCCCACTGGCGATGACCATATGCGCCCCCGCCATCCATGCTCACACGTTCCGTGGCCCCATAGGGAGCGCCACCGCAAGCTCCAGTGGCTGTGGCCACATGTGTCGCCGCTACCCTTTTCGGCACACTCCTCACACGTGTCGTAGCCCCATGAGGATCTCCACGGACGGCCCCAATTACGCTGCCGAAGAACCCCACATCCTTCGCTTCATCTCTTGTCTTAGCATAGCTGGCGTGCAACATACGTGGATGATGCTAGGTTGGTCAAGACAGTGCCACGCCTGCTGCGCCGTGGACGACCAAGGCGGATAGCGCCCCCCTAACCCCCAACGCACCCCCTGTGGCGTCGAGGAAATGCAACGCGTGCCATGCCCTGCGAGCCTGCAACGCATAGCGACCCCCCCACCCCAGCGCACCCCCTGTGGCGTCGAGGAAACGCCGCGCCTGCCATGCCATTCGAGCCTGCAACGAATAGCGCCCCAAACCCCCAGCGCATACTTTATGGCGTCGAGGAAATGCCACGCCTGCCATGCCCTGCGAGCCTGCAGCGCATAGCCGCACCCCCTGCGGCATGGAGGAAATGCCACGCCTACCATGCCCTGCAAGACTGCAGCACATAGCGCCCCCACCCCCAACGCCCCTGTGGCGCCGAGGAAATGCCACGCCTGCCATGCCTTGCGAGCCTGCAACGCATAGCGCCTCCACCCCCAGCGCACCCCCTGTGGCGTCGAGAAAATGCCAGGCCTGTCATGCCCTACGAGCCTGCAACGCATAGCGCCCCCACCCCCAGCGCGCCCCCCGTGGCGTCTGCCCTGCCCGCCTGCAGCGCGTATCGCCCCCGCCCCCAGCGCGCCCCCTGTGGCGTCGACCACGCCTGCCATGCCCTGCGAGCGTGCAGCGCATAGCGCTCCCACCCCCAGCGCACCCCCTGTGGCATCGAGGGAATGCCACGCCTGCCATGCCCTGCGAGCCTGCAGCGCATAGCGCCTCCCCTACCCCAGCGCACCCCCTGTGGCGCCGAGGAAATGCCACGCCTGCCATGCCTTGCGAGCCTGCAACGCATAGCGCCTCCACCCCCAGCGCACCCCCTGTGGCGTCGAGAAAATGCCAGGCCTGTCATGCCCTACGAGCCTGCAACGCATAGCGCCCCCCCCCCCAGCGCGCCCCCCGTGGCGTCTGCCCTGCCCGCCTGCAGCGCGTATCGCCCCCGCCCCCAGCGCGCCCCCTGTGGCGTCGACCACGCCTGCCATGCCCTGCGAGCGTGCAGCGCATAGCGCTCCCACCCCCAGCGCACCCCCTGTGGCGTCGAGGGAATGCCACGCCTGCCATGCCCTGCGAGCCTGCAGCGCATAGCGCCTCCCCTACCCCAGCGCGCCCCCTGTGGTGTCGAGGAAATGCCACGTCTGCCATGCCCTGCGAGCCTGCAACGCATAGCGCCCCCCATCCCCCAGCGCACCCCCTATGGCGTCGAGGGAATGCCACGCCTGCCATGCCCTGCGAGCCTGCAACGCATAGCGCCCCCCCCCCTCCCCCAGCGCACCCCCTATGGCGTCGAGGAGATGACGCGCCTGCCATGCCGTGCGAGCCTGCAACGCATACGCCCCCACCCACAGCGCATCTCCTATGGTGTCGAGGAAACGCCACGCCTGCCATGCCCTGCGAGCCTGCAACGCATAGCTCCCCATCCCCCAGCGCACCCCCTATGGCGTCGAGGAAATGCCACGCCTGCCGTGCCCTGCGAGCCTGCAACGCATAGCGCCCCCACCACCGGCGCATCCCCTAAGGTGTCGAGAAAGTGCCAAGCCTGCCGTGCCCTGCGAGCCTGCGGCGTATAGAGACCGCGCTCAGGGACCACCCCCTGCGCCCCCCCTCTGGTGTCGAGAAAGTGCCACGCCTGCCGTGCCTTGCGTCTGTGTCTGTGTCCGTGTTGTGTGGTGTGTTTTATGTATGTGTCTGATGTGTGTGCGGCCGTGTCTGTGTGTGTGGTTGTGTGTGTGGTTGTGTGTGTGTGTGTGTGTGTGTGTGTGTGTGTGTGTGTGTGTGTGTGTGTGTGTGTTAGTGTTTGTTCCCCACATGCTTCGTGGGGTTCTGGCTTTCACCCCTGCCGCGTCGTGCCCGCGTCTCCTCCTCACCCGCCTCCCCTCCCTCCTCCTTCCTCCCCTCCTCCACATCCTTCCTCCCTTCACCCACGCGCAACCCATGCACAGCACGTGCATCAGACGCGCGTCTACATGCAACGGCACGCATGCACACACTCGCACAAACGCACAGTAGACACCATACTATGCTAATGCACGCCTGGCGTGTTCACTGCATCATGCACCCAAGACGTGTGGGAGCGCTATCCGTTTCGGGCTCGCAAAGCGTGGCAGGCGTGGCACTTCCTCGATACCACGGGGAGTGAGCTGGGGGCGGAGGCGCTATCCGTTTCGGGTTCGCACAGCGTGGCAGGCGTGGCACTTCCTCGACACCACAAGGGGTGAGCTGGGGGTGGGAGCGCTATCCGTTTCGGGATCGCAAAGCGTGGCAGGTGTGGCACATCCCCGACACCACAAGGGCTGCGCAGTGGGTGGGAGCACTATCCGTGTCGGGCTCGCAAGGCGCGGCAGGCGTGGTACATCCTCGACACCGCTGGGGGTGAGCTGGGGGTGGGAGCGCTATCCATTCTGGGCTCGCAAAGCGCGGCAGGCGTGGCACATCCTCGACACCGCGGGGGGTGAGCTGGGGGTGGGGGCGCTATCCGTTCGGGGCTCGCAAAGCGTGGCAGGTGTGGCACACCCTCGACACCACAGGGAGTGCGCAAAGCATGGCAGGCAGAGCACATCGTCGACACCACAAGGGCTGCGCTGTGGGTGGGAGCGCTATCCGTGTCGGGCTCGCAAATCGTGGCAGGCATGGCGCGTCTTCGACACCGCAAGGGCTGCGCTGTGGGTGGGGGCGCTATCCGTTTCGGGCTCGCAAAGCGTGGCAAGCGTGGCACTTCCTTGACACCGCAGGAGGGGAGCTGGGGGTGGGAGCACTATCCGTTTCGGGTTCGCAAGGCGCGGCAAGCGTGGCACATCCTCGACACCACAAGGGGTGAGCTGGGGGTGGGAGCGCTATCCGTTTCGGGCTCGCAGAGCGTGGCAGGCGTGGCCCATCCTCGACACCTCAGGGGATGCGCTGGGGGTGGGAGTGCTATCCGTTTCGGGCTCGCAAAGCGTGGCAGGTGTGGCGCACCCTCGACACAACAGGGGCTGCGCTGTGGGTGGGAGCGCTATCCGTTTCGGGCTCGCAAAGCGTGGCACGTGTGGCACTTCCTCGACACCGCAGGAAGGGAGCTGGGGGTGGGAGCGCTATCCGTTTCGGGCTCGCAGGGCGTGGCAAGCGTGGCACTTCATCGACACCACAGGGGGTGAGCTGGGGGTGGGAGCGCTACCCGTTTCGGGCTCGCAAAGCGTGGCAGGCGTGGCACATCCTCGACACCACAAGGGGTGAGCTGGGGGTGGGAGCGCTATCCGTTTCGGGATCGCAAAGCGTGGCAGGCGTGGCACATCCTCGACACCACAGGGGCTGCGCTGTGGGTGGGAGCGCTATCCGTGTCGGGCTCGCAAATCGCGGCAGGCATGGCACACCCTCGACACAACAAGGGCTGGGCTGTGGGTGGGAGCGCTATCCGTTTCGGGCTCGCAAAGCGTGGCACGTGTGGCACTTCCTCGACACCGCAGGAGGGGAACTGGGGGTGGGAGCGCTATCCGTTTCGGGCTCGCAGAGCGTGGCAGGCGTGGCACTTCCTCGACACCACAGGGGGTGAGCTGGGGGTGGGAGCGCTACCCGTTTCGGGCTCGCAAAGCGTGGCAGGCGTGGCACTTCGTCGACACCACAAGGGATGCGCTGGGGGTGGGAGCGCTATCCGTTTCGGGCTCGCAAAGCGTGGCAGGTGTGGCACACCCTCGACACCACGGGGAGTGCGCAAAGCGTGGCAGGCGTGGCACATCCTCGACACCACAAGGGCTGCGCTGTGGGTGGGAGCGCTATCCGTGTCGGGCTCGCAAATCGCGGCAGGCATGGCACATCCTCGACACCACAGGGGGTGAATTGGGGTGGGGAGCGCTATCCGTTTGGGGCTCGCAAAGCATGGCAGGCGTGGCACTTCCTCGACACCACAAGGGGGCGCGCTGGGGATGGAAGCGCTATCCGTTTCGGGCTCGCACAACGTGGCAGGCGTGGCACTTCCTCGACACCACAGGGGATGCGCTGGGGGTGGGGACGCTATCCGCTTCGGTCTCGCAAAGCGTGGCAGGCGTGGCACATCCTCGACACCTTGGGTGGTGAGCTGGGGTTGGGAGCGCCATCCGTTCCGGGCTCGCCAAGAGTGGCAAGCGCGGCATTTCCTCGACACCATAGGGGCTGCGCTGGGGGTGGGAGCGCTATCCGTTTCGTGCTCGCAAGACGCGGCAGGCGAGCCCGCATCTGATCCAAAACTGTAAACACGTTGGCTCAAACCGTTTCGGCGTGCACGCGGTTCCACGCAATCTCGCCTGTAATTCCGTTTTGGGGCAGCAGCCGCGGTACTTGCGCGTGGCAGACATGCCGCCCAAAATTGCCATGGACGCCTTGCCACCTCCGTGTTTGGCGATGAAGAGCGCAATGACTCAGATGGGTGGCGAGGTCACTCTGGAGAACTCGCGCAGATGTGCCCACGGAGTGGTGCTGTCCGCATTTAATGCGTACCGCCGCCAGCTCAACACTTGGTAACTTGATACGCTCTACGCGAAGTATTCCGACATGAGCGACGACGGCAAGAGGCAGGGTCTGGTGGCGTACCTGCGGAACCCTGCGTCGGGCGGATTCCCCCAGGAGGCGCTTTTAGATCAGAGGGAGCAGACTGGGGAACACGACGGCGGCCCGCCAGCGAAGGCTCGGCGAATGCGCGAGGCTGGCAGCGCGGCCGCTATCCGAGCCCGTCGTCCAGGGCATAGCAGGCGTGGCATTTTCTCGACGCCATAGGGGGTGCGCAGGGGGTGGTCTCTCAGCGCGGCCGCTATCCGAGCCTGTCGTCCAGGGCGTAGCAGGCGTGGCACTTTCTCGTCACCATAGGGGGTGCGCAGGGGGTGGTCTCTGAGAGCGGCCGCTATCCGAGCCGGTCGTCCAGGGCATAGCAGGCGTGGCATATTCTCGAAACCATAGGGGGTGTGCAGGGGGGGGTCTCTGAGCGCGGCCGCTATCCGAACCAATCGTCCAGGGCGTAGCAGGCGTAGCACTGGCAGAGTTCGCATGCGTTCCATGCCGGCACTCCCCTCGCACGTTTCGTGGCCCCATACGGAGCTCCACTGAAGGCCACAGTGGCGAAATTCGCATGCTTTCCCGCCGCCCATGTCGGCACACCTTTCACACGTTCCGTGGCCCCGAATGGGGCTTAACCAAATGCTTTTGTGGCAGGGTTCGCGTGCCACCCCCGCCCATCTGGGCGCACCCCTCACACATTCCGTGGCGCCACAGGGAACTCCACCGAAGGCTCTTGGTGCCAGGCCTGGCACAGTTCGCAGGCGTCCCCTGACCTCTTCGGCACATCCCTCACGCTTCGTGGCTCCACAGGGAGCTCCACCGAAGGCTCCTGCGACAAGGTTCGCATGCGTCCCCCCGTTCATTCTGGCACGCCCCTCACACATTTCGTGGCCTCGCTAGGAGCTCAGCCAAAGGCTTTTGAAGCAGATTTCGCGTGCGTCCCCCCACCCATGTTGACGCACCCCTCACACGTTTCGTGCCCCCACAGGGAGCTCCCCCTTCCTTCGTACCACCTGCATCGCGGCACTCACACTTGCATATGGTTGAATCTTTCGCCAGGATGAACCGATTTTGGTTTAACAAGCGGCGAACGACTTTTGCCTGTTTTCGGCTGCTGGGGCCCTCCTCGGATTTCGGAACCGTCAGGACAAACATGACTCGAGATGAAACAATCGGTCCCAGGGAAAAGGTGCAGAACTCCAGAGTTCCACGTTGTGGACAAATCACGCATCGAAGGTGCAGTCGGACCTAGGTCAGAAAAAAAACATCCTTCAACAACGTGAGACCCTCCGCCGGCCAAAACAAACAGAACATCCAAGGGTACCCTCCCCAAGATGCGCAAAAACATCAAACAGACACGAAGCACACAAAGGTACCCTCTCCGAACCGACCTCCATCTTATACCTCGGTCCGGCTGTATCGGCAGAGGACGACGAGGATGCTGCTGATGCTGATGATGCTGCTGCTGCTGATGATGATGCTGATGGTGGTGGTGCTGCTGCTACTGCTGCAGCTGCTGGTGGTGATGATGATGAGGGTGACGATGCTAATGCTGATGCTGCTGATGTTGTTGCTGCTGCTGCTGATGATGATGATGATCATGGTACGGACGGTGAGGATGCAACATGCCATACGGTTGTGACTACGCAGTGACGCCTGCGCCCATAACTGCGGTGCTGCGAAGGCTCTCTTGCCATAGCGCGCCGTTTACCGAGAGGCTGGCCTGGAGCGCTACGTGTGGTTGTCGCCCCAGGGGCCTTCGCTGTAGCGGTCTGAGCACTTGCGGTCAGTCCAGTCTAGGACCGCGGGACGGGTGCGCGAACCTGCCCCCGAGTCTCCATATTCGAAATCAGCTCCTCTTAGAACTGCGGGAGCAAACTAGCGACCGAGTCCACCTGTGTGCTGCGGGAAAGGGGGGAAGGGAAGGAATGATCCTCGAACAGGAGGAAGAAGCGCCTGCAAGAGAAGACGCGGGATCTGGCCCACAATTCATTGGGTCCTCATCATGCACCTGGCCTTCCCGTCCTCATCGTGCACGTGGCAATCCACGACGTCTCCAGGCCGCCACGGTACCGCAGCAATCTCCGGCCGGGTCGAAGCCTGGTAATGCTCAAGGCCCCGCGGCTTCTGCAGCACTGTCTGGCCCGCCCTGCCCGCTAATGCGAAGCACAACATCAGCAAACACACGGGCGGCTCGATCGCAGAAAGTTCGAGTGCACAACTTGGAGCGAATGGCTGCGGCCCGCGGGCAGTGGCAAGAGCTGGAAATAGTGCAGTGTGGGCAACGCTTCGCATCCCCACCCATGTTGAGGTGTTAATAGTTTGACGGCGAGGAAACAGATGATGTGGTGACGATCCTGCGGCTGCTACTGATGATGGTGAGGATGAGGACGAGAGACGGCGGGCGGTCGAGGCGAGGGTCGAGGCGGACAAAGGGGGGAATAACGTAACACCCCGCAGTTGCGGATAAGAGTGAGGGGGCGGCGGGGACGTTGGCAGTCTGCGAGGCTCTGAAGAAGCCCGCCGCAGGCGCATAATTTTTCAAGCTGCACAACGAGCCCGCCGCAGACGCCGATCTTCTGTTACAAGAGTGTGGGTGGGTCGCGGGTTGGGACGCAAATGGGTCGCGGGTGGGTCGACGGTGGGTCCCGGGTGGGTCGCGGGCCGGGTCGCGGGTGGGTCTCGGGTGGGTCGCGGGTGGGTGGCGGGTGGGTCGCGGGTGGGTCGCGAGCGGGTCGCGGGGTGGGTCGCGGGTGGGTGGCGGGTGAGTCGCGGGGTGGGTCGCGGGTGGGTCGCGGGGTGGGTCGCGGGGGGGACGGCGTAACAAAACAAGCATAATCCCCGCCGTGGATCCCCGCTTCAGCCACGCACCCACGGACAGTGAATGACCGTTTGGCCCCCTGGCTCAGACCAATATAATTAATAACTCAAGAGGAACCATCATCTGGAAGAGGGCGAATTGAGACATCGACAACTCAAATCGGTACCTGGACCCCTCCCGGGGTCTGAACGCACCAATTTTCCGAGCTGCGTCCAACCGTGGCGACGATAATCCCCTCCGAAGGCCAACTACCGTTGTCTCCAGGCCCTCCTTGACGTTGACGACGACAACGACCGCCAAACTCCTCCACAACCTGTCGAAGTAGGAAGTACCGTGGGGGGCGTCCACGGCGACCAAGCGCAGTCCGTGCTTCTCGGTGACCACCCCTGTCGGCGGAGAGGTGGAGAATGAGGAGGAGGAGGAAGAGGAGGAGGAGGAAGAAGGGGAGGAGGAGGAGGAGGAGCGCCAGTAGCTGCAGCGAGTCGGTCGAGCTCAGCCTCGACGCCTCGGCCTGAGCCAGCTGTATGGCCTAGCCGCATTGGGCGGAGGGGGTAGAATCGAGTAATTGCTTGGCATTTTGGCCAATGCCGCTTTCAAAGCATCGAGCTGCTGCGGGAGAGTTAAAGGGCGTCCGTCTTGATGCGAAGCCATCTCCTTGGCAACGTGGTAGATATAGAAACTGAGAGCCGTTGCTAAACTAGCACTCTCCCGGGTGAGGTCACATGCCGGATATTGCGTGGGGAGACCAAGACCGAGGCGGAGAAGGGGACACGGCGAGACGACAGCACGTGGACGACAAACGAGGTGAGTGAGGCGGGGGCACTTTAAATAGTGAACTATGCTATCGGGGTGCGAACATCCGAAAACACAGCTCCTTCTAGGAGGAGGAGGAGGAGGAGAAGGAGGAGGAGGAAGAGGAGGAGGAGGACCCGCAGCAACGCCGAGCACGGGCCTATACATTACTAAATTTCGTCAGGATTTAACGGTCGGCCCGACTTGGGGTGACGACCAGCCCGTATAGCAGATATTGCACGAGCCTGCTTATAACGGGCGGACTTGTGCTCTGTAGGTCCAAGACAATTGAGCTGCAGCTTGCACTTCGCTGTTGTCCCACTGACCACGTGATACGAGCCACATCAAATACGCACCATGGCCAGACGGGTCGCCAACACCTGGTGCCCACTGATATTGACGATCTCTTCAGAGGCAGGCGCTGACATGTCGGGCCCCTGACTCGCCTTATCGACCGCTATGTACAGTGTCCTCAGCAGCGTGCTCAGCGTCGGCGAAAATCGTCGCCGCCTGCATCGCTTGAGACCTCAAGGGAAAGGCCCTCTGGAGCCCCACATCGGCCCCAGCCGTGAGTCTCTCTTGGGCCGTGGGCTCACATGAGGACCCCATGAGCTTCCCAACGCCGGCCTGCGCACGGGCAATCGCAAGGCAAGCGCGACACTGGAAATTCTGAGGCCCTCGAACCACCATCTTATGAACAATGAAAAACATGGGCCTAGTGGAGGCGGGGGGCCTGCGCAACCGTGCAGGGCGGTCACTCAGAGCATCGCGCGCGGTCATCTTACACACCATGAAAGAAAGCGGGCCTGCATCCTCGAATCCTGCAACCCTGCCTCCAACGACTTCTCGATAATCTCAAACACTTCGTGCAGAGAAGCTCTCATTTTAGCAAACCCGTCAGCCCATGCGTTTCCCCTGTGTTCCCACCAGCCCGTTAGGGCGTAAGGTGGTTTAGGGAGCTTCCTCTTCCATCCCTCCCTCTTCCCCTTCGGGGAAAGGTTGATCACTGTTCCCTATTAGTATACACCCCCTCCCCCAGGCGACTGGCAGCCAACAAGGAACAATGCGGGCACCCCCCACCATCCCTGGAACATTAGCCTGGCGAAGGACCCAACCATATGCAGTTGGCCGTCTTCGCGGGCGCCGACGACGACAAGGACGGCGTCCCTCTAACCGAGGAGCAGAAGCAGGAGAGGGCTTTGAGAGCCATGAGGGAGGAGGTGTCGGTGCACGTCGAGAAGGCGGAGTACGACGCCCAAGCGCGGTTGTTGAAGTAGCACAACTATGGGGCCACGATCCTCGTGAGGGGTGTGCCGAAATGGCCCGGGGCCGCCATGTGAACCCTGCCACTGGGGGCCTTCGGTGGAGCTCCCTATGTGGCCACGATCCTCGTGAGGGGTGTGCCGAAATGGCCCGAAGCCGCCATGCGCACTTTGCTATTGGCGCCTTCGGTGGAGTTCCCATGGGGCCACGGTCCTCGTGAGGGGTGTGCCGACATGGCCCGAGGCCGCCATGCGAACACTGCCACTGGCGCCTTCGGTGAAGCTCCCTATGTGGCCACGATCCTCGCGAGGGGTGCCGAAATGGCCCGAGGCCGCCATGCGCACTTTGCTACTGGCGCCTTCGGTGGAGCTCCTACGAGGCCACGATCCTCGTGAGGGGTGTCGAAATGGCCCGAGGCCGCCGTGCGCACTTTGCTACTGGCGCCTTCGGTGGAGCTCCTATGTGGCCACGATCCTCGTGAGGAGTGTGCCGAAATGGCCCGAGGCCGCCATGCGCGCTTTGCTACAGGCGCCTTCGGTGGAGCTCCTATGTGGCCACGATCCTCGTGGCGGTGTGCCGAAATGGCCCGAGGCCGCCATGCGCACTTTGCTACTGGCGCCTTCGGTGGAGCTCCTATGGGGCCACGGTCCTCGTGAGGGGTGTGCCGAAATGGGCCGAGGCCGCCATGCGCACTTTGCTGCTGGCGCCTTCGGTGGAGCTCCTATGGGGCCACGGTCCTCGCGAGGGGTGCGCCGAAATGGCCCGAGGCCGCCATGCGCACTTTGCTACTGGCGCATTTGGTGGAGCTCTTATGGGGCCACGATCGTCGTGAGGGTGATGATGATGATGATGATGCTGATGATGCTCCTGCTGATGCTGATGTTGATGATGATAATGCTGACGGTGACGACGATGATGCGAGGAGGAGGGGGGGCAGCGGGAGGAGGAAGGAACGCGGGGCGCTGTCTCTTCAAAACTAAGACCCAACAGCACAGGATGGTTTGGAAAACAATGCAAAACACACTCTGCCTCCAAATTCGGAGCATGCGCAGCCAACTCGATGCGGCCTCCCCCCACCATCCCTGTCAAATAACAAGACAGAGTACACTTGGCGGCGGCGGCGGCTGCGGCGGCGGCAGCGGCTGCGGCGGTGGCGGCGGCGGTGGCGGCGGCGGCGGTGGCGGCGGCGGGGGCGGCGGCGGCGATTCGGCAGCGGGCGGCGGCGGCGGCGGCGGCGGCGGGCGGCGCGGCGGCGGTGGCGGCGGGCAGCGGCGGCGGCGGCGGCGGCGGCGAGGCGGCGGCTGCGGCGGGCGGCGGGGGCGGCGGCGGCGGCGGATGCGCCCCCATGAGACAGACAGACAGATCCCGCACGGCTACGAAGCCGGTCCTGCACAGGACACGGGAGGAAAAATATCATGCAAAGCTCACATGTAACACGCCGAGACACAACGACCACACACAAGCACATACAAACACTGACAAACATGCACAGGCGACAATGCCATCTCTCAGACGCCGTCCGTCCACCTGCATGCCGGACGCCCTCGCTCCCTGTAAACAGGATGGCCTGGTATAGTTGGCCGTGCCGACCAGCGGTACACGCGACAGACTATCCCGGCCTGCCGTTTGGTCACTTTCTCAAGCAACCCTCAGCCCCCAGTAGCTGCCCATCCAAAGACGACTGCTGAATATGCTGAGGCTCGGGCCAGGCTCGGGTGTGTGTTGGGAGGCCGGGTGGGAGTGAGCGAGACGGCTTGCGGGCGGGGAGGGAGTCTTGACCGCTCCCCCTGCCACCTCACCTGGACCTGGACGGGGGGTTCCACTGGCAGTTGGAGTGTCCAAAACGGCCTCGGCGAGGAAGCCAACATCATTAGTTTTACTGGAATTTTGGCCCCATTTTGGCCTCCTGGGGGGGCGAAGTGGCGAGGCTAATTGGGCCCCTCCCTTCTCTGATCGATCTCCCCCGAGATGGCCCCAAGAGCGCTCCCAAGGCTCCCATGGGTGCCCCAAAAGGGCTCCAAGAGGCGCCCAGGAGACCACAAGAGGCCTCCCCAAGAGGCCCCCAGGATGCCCCCAAGAGTCTTCCAAGAGACCCCCAAGAGGCCCCCAGAAGCGGCCAAGACGCTCCAAGATGCCTATCTCGAGCCGCGACGGGGCCAGCCCTGACCCGTCAGTATGCGCCATTGTTTGACCATGCCCCCCGCGGAGATGCCCAGTCACCCCGTGGCTTATACTGGAGCTCATACGAGACCTGTGGTGGTAGTTGGGGTTTGATGGGGAAACGCATGACAGTGTCCAGGAGATGCCAATGAGGCTCGCCTGATCCCTGGATGCCTTTCTTCCTGAGGCACGAATAACAGTGGTCCATCTTGGGGCCCCATAGGAGGTCCTCAGTCTAGGAGTCATTGCAGAAGGTAGGGCGATCATACAATTTAGGTTCCATCGTCGACCTCTCGGCTGGACACCAAGGCCACTTCGCTGGGATGATGTAGCCGGCGTTGTTCTGGCGATCGGGCGTCCAGATTCCTCCAAACCAACGCTTGCGAATAGCTCCAACGAAACGAGGGTGCCTAACAGCCGCCTTGGTACCGCCTGTGCACCTTCTCATCAAGCGGATCCATATGAAGTCCGGATGATTCTTGATGATCCGCGCGGCCTGCCAGTGCGCGACTGCCTAGCGGGCCAGCCCGCAGATAATCTTAGGTGGTGCCTGCGCGCGCGTGCCTCTGGTGATCTATGAAGACAATACTGGAAGCCATTCCCTTCCCAATTCTGCCCAAGGAGAGCCAGAGTATCTCCAAAGGCCAACGGACCCCAGCCCAAGACATCTTATGCTCCTGGAGTGTGTTAGCAACATCTAACCAGGCCCTGTGTCGCCTCCCAAGAGAGATCCTTTGGTCCCAGACGAAGCTCGAGTATGTCTTCAAGGGCTCCAGCGTGGCATGGTAAGTGGGGTGATACATTTATCTTTCTGTGTGGCCAAAACCAGCGTGAGAGAGTCGTGTCCAGAGCTGCGACCAGCAAGATCTCCAGCAATACGTCTCATAATGGCCAGCTCTGCAAGTGCTGCACCAACAACAGAATGCTGTAACCGGTACACCCGCTATTCGGCGTAGCATCTTGATACAAGGAAACCGTGCACGCTAGCTAGCCAAACGACGATCCACCTGTTTCCGAATGGGTGGAACTCCTGGCATCTCATGTCCCACATTTCGAAACCATTTCTTTGCTGTAGATCGAAGCGGTGCCGCCAGATTCTGGAAACCTTTCACAGCTCTATGAGTATTTGCTCGCCAGCCAGGCTTCTCAGGCTTGATGATCGTGCCCAACTTGCCTACATCTTGCGCGAACGTGTGCACCGCGTTTTGCACATTACTAAGCATGTTGGTGCCTGTCCCTTGAAACGTGCTGTCGTGCACCAGCACGCGCGGCATAACAACCCTAGACGTAGTGTGCACACGCATGATAACACACTTTGTGAGTACGGTGAGTAGTGTGGTCGCATGAGTGCGCCCATTAAGCCTGTCTTGTTGAGCCCCAGAAAGCATACTCACACACTCATATGCTTTGATCACCCTGGGACGTGCAAATAATGTTTCCGGAAGCGACCAGACCAGCAGTAACGGAAACCATAACGTTCGTGCTTCATCCGGTAGCGCGGGAAACAGCACCGTCTGAAAGCAATCTCAACAGACTCGCACACTTGATGTGCAACGCGCATAATACTGCACGCCCAACATCAGGCACATACCAGACGTTACGAGCGGGCTGGATGCGCATACGACCAACTGGCGTCTTCGATGGAATTGATAGCACTGCTTCTCGAATGCTGTCGACAATCATGTGGGGCAGGAGGTCCCAGGAATGGGCACCTACTGGTAATCTCATACAATCTGTGTCGTGGCATGTCCAAACCTCCCTCTACCTCTACATCTCATCATCAGCCAGATGATAAGGCTGCGTGCGATCAGTGTGCATGATGGTGCCCGTCATTGTAATAACTTGAATATCTGCGTGCGCCTTGCCAGCGCCATCTCGAACAGCTGTGGCCACCAATTCTTTACATTGCTTCTCACCCTCCTTCATGTATAGCTGCACAACGTCATCTGCACGCTCCACGATGCCGAGGGCCAAATTCTCGAACTCAAGATCCGAGAAAGCATTGGGGCCGACCTGGAAAAAGCAGCGGGCCTTGTCAGCAAGTTGCGGCCGCTCTTCTTCATAAGTTAGAATCCGCTGGCAAGAACACATATGATGATGGTGATGATGATGATGATGATGATGATGATGATGATGATGATGATGATGATGATGATGATGATGATGATGATGATGATGATGATGATGATGATGATGATTGTGATGATGATTATGAGGAGGAGGAAGAGGAGGAGGAGGAGGAGGAGGAGGAGGAGGAGAGGAAGAGGAAAAGGAGGAGGAAAATGAGGAGCAGGAGGAGAAAGAAGAGGTGGAGGAGGAGGAGGAGGAGGAGTGGGAGGAGGAGGAGGACGAGGAGGAGGAGGAGGAGGAGGAGGAGGAGGAGGAGGAGGAGGAGGAGGGGGAGGACGATGAAAAAGGAATGAGGAGGAGGAGGACACCCCCCCCACAAGGGGCTCCGCGGAGCGTGGCGCCCTCGACCACGGCCGCCGCGCGCTCCACGCTGGCGGCCTCGAACGCCGCCGCCTTGGCGGCGAGCTCGACGAGCAGGTCGCCGTAGCTGCGGTTGTCGGTGACGATGACGAACACCCCCCTGGGGACGAGCGCCTCGGCCACCTCCTCCTCCTCCTCCTCTTCCTCCTCTTCCCGAAATGTACTAACAGTGATGCTGATACTGCTACTGCTACTGAGGGAAGTCCGAATGTTGGCCAGCGTGGGTCCCAAACCTGGGGACGAGCGTCTCGGCCTGTCCTCTGAATAGTACAATCAAAACGTGCATTAAGGACGGGTTGTAAGGACGCAAGACCCTTGGAGGCCGAGGTTGGAATTCCTGGGGCGGCGGGCGACCAACACCCCCGGGACGCACACGGTGCCTTGACCCAGGGAAGATCCAATGAACACTGCAAAGGACGGGCCGCAGAAGCAAGGACACACAGATACCCTAGATGAGGCTCGCGTCCTTACTAGGCGCGTTCACTGTAATAGCACGGATGGGAATGCTACTGCTGTGTCAAGAAATCCGAATGCCAACTAACGTGGGCCAGACCGTGATTTCCTAAACCATATTTATGTATGTATGTGTGCATATACGTATGTATGTATGTCTGTCTGTCTGTATGTCTGTCTGTATGTATGCATGCATGCGTGCGTGCATGTATGTATGTAGGTATACATGTATGCATGCATGTATGCATGTTTGTATCTATATGTTTGTTTGTTTGCATGCATGTATGTATGTATACATGTAGCTATGTATAATATTCGTTTGCACTTATATGGATACAAACTGTTTTTAATTATACATGTATGTATGCATACATGTATGTATGCCTATATGCATGCCCATATATATATGTATATATATATATATACACATGTAGTCCCCCCGCCAACACCCATGTATTCATTGACTTGCCATCGGCGATTCGCGCTGATCGCGTCTTATTTACTCTCCGTTCTCCTCGTCACCTCTCTGCATTACTCTCCGTTCTCCCCGCCTCGGAATCCAGCTGGAATCAGCTGGATCTGGGACCTGGTCAATTCCAATTCGACTCTTATTCGATCCCATCGGAATCCAATGTGATTCAACTGGATTTGGGATATGCCCAAGCCGAATTCGATTTTAACTCGATTCTGGTAGGAATCCAATTACAAACAGCTGTATCTCGGATCTGCTCCAATCCACTTACATTATCATCCGAAGGGGGATCCAATTGGAAACCGCTGTATCTGGGATCTGCTCCATTTCAATTAAATTCTAATTCGATTTCAATGGGAATCTGTCCGGAAACAGCTGCATATGTGATGTGCCCAATTCCAATTCGGTTATCCAAGGAGATCCTAATAGACACCCCACTTTGACTCAGCTGGATCTGTGATCTGCCCAATTAGACTCAGCTGTATCTGGGGACTGCTCAGTTTGAGTTAGATTTCGGTTATACTCCAATCGCAATCCGATAGGGATTACCTGGGTCTGGGGCCTGCTGCATCCCAGTCCGATTCTAATCCGACTCCAATAGGAATCCAAGTCGAATCAGCTGCACCCGCGATCTGCTCCATTCGAATTGGGTTCTAATTGGAACCAGCTGTATCTGGGATCTGCTCCATTCCAAATCGATTCCCATTTGTTTTTGGTAAGATTCAACTTGGAACCAACTGGATCTGGGATCTGCGCAATTCCAACTCGATTCTAATTCGATTCCACTATGAATCACATTGGGAACAGCTGGATCTGTAATCCGCTCCACCCCCATTTGATTTTCAGTAGATTCCAATAGGGAACCATTTGTATTCAGCTGGATCTCGAACTTGCGTCTTTCTTTCTTTATCTCTCTCTCTCTCTCTGTCTGTCTCTGTCTCTGTCTCTTTCTCGCTCTTTCTCTTTGTCCCCTCGGCACCCAACTCATTCCCTGTGAAAACACTAAGTTTGCGATGCCAGCGGGTGCGGACATCTGCTTTTTTCTTCAGTTTTTTTTTTTTTTTTTTTTTGTTTTGTTTTTCTTCTCTCTTCCTTCTCTGGAATGAGAAGCGAGGAAACTAGGTGTTTTCATGCTATTGTTGTTTTCGGATTGTTTGGGACTTTCTTTCCCCCAGCCAGCGTCCAGCCCTGGAGCTCTTGAAGATGCTCCGATCCCCCAAATCTCAAAATCCCAACAATCCAACTGAAAACAAATGGTTCCCTCACTTCTCATCCCAGAAATCCCAATTATCCCAATGAGAACTCAGGGTTTGCGATGTCAGGAGCGCGGGGTCCATGTGTCTTCTTTTTTCTCGGATTTCTGGGATGAGGGTTGAGGATTGTTTCCAACAGCAACAAATGTGGATTCTTGGGGTCGGAGCTCCAGGGGGTGCTCCTGGGTTGGCCTTGCGCTGGAGGGAGAAATCCTCCTCAAACCACCAAGCTCCTGATGAAAACACACGGTTTCCTCACTGCTCATCCCGAACCCTCCCAAATATCCAAATGAACGCACATGAGTTCCGCACTCCTGATATCGCAAACCCTGTGCTTTCACAGGGATTGCGTCGAGTGTCTGGGAGATAGAGAAAGCATCATATATATATATAGAGAGAGAGAGAGAGAGAGAGAGAGAGAGAGAGAGAGAGAGAGAAAGAGAGAGAAAGAGAGAGAGAGAGAGAGATATAGAGAAATAGAGACAAAACGAGAGAGAGAGAGAGAGAGAGAGCGAGAGAGAGAGAGAGAGAGAGAACAAGAGAAAGCGAGAGAAAGAGAGAGAGAGAGAGAGAGAGAGAGCGGAAGAGAGAGAGATCACATATAGAGAGAAAGAGAGAGAGAGAGAGAGAGGGACATATGTGTGTGTACATATATATATATAACGAGAGAGAGAGGGACATATATATAGAGAGAGAGAGAGAGAGAGAGAGAGAGAGATCGGACCAATGGGACCCACGTGTCCGCAGGCCGCCAGGCAAGCGCGGCGCGCCCGCCGCTCACAGGCCAGAGCGCTTCGGCAGCAATGGGCCCTTCACACCTGTCTTTGGGCAGAGGCCTGGGAGGAAGGAGAGGGGGGGGGGCGAGAGGAGACCCCCAGCATGAGCAAGGGTGTCCTGTGACGCCTGCCTCGCAGCCGTCCGAGTCTCACCTATAGGGTCAAGCGGAGCCTGCGCCCGTTTTTGGCATGACAGCACCTCGCTGACAGTGGTGGCGGCGTCCATCCAGCAGCATCTCTTCAGGACCCGCAGTGGCGGGGGGCTACCGTGGACGCTTGCCAGGCGGCGCACGGGCCACGTGGGGAAACTTAGCTGCGGGCGCCCCTGGTGAGGGGCAGGTGGTCCGAGGTGGACTGGGCGCGCTCGAGTGCTCGCGCGAGCTGCGTCGCTTCGGTGGCGTCGGCAGGCTGGGCCTTGTAGGGGAAGGGCGCCGCCTGAGGCGGGCCTTCCCCCCTGCGAGGGGCGGCCTGATGCGATCCCGTGTTGCTGCTGTTGACTGTCGTAAGGCCGAGGCTCATCGGCAGGGCGCTGCGGTCAGGAGAAGGCCGAGCCGTCTCCGACGCTTCGTGGGTGGAGCGCTGAGCGGGGTCTCTGAGGGAGCTGGTGGTGGGGCCTCCGAGGGCGCTGCTGGGTTCGTCGAATGTGGCGTGCTCCCGGCCGCTCGCCGCAGTGGCGGTGGGGCAGAGCACCTGGGGCGGGGTCCTCGTGGGGAGGCTGAGTCGGGGCCTCTTCGCGGGAAGGGGGCCTGGCGGAAGAGGACCGCGCCTGAAGCATGCCGTTCCCGCCGCGAGGAGTCGCGTGATGCAGCCCCTCGTCGCTTGGGCCAGTGGGCTCGAGGTGCAGGTGATCAGAGTGGAGGTCCGAAGGCCCGCCGAGGCCGGCGGGGTCGCGGTCGCCCTCGGGCCCCAGGGCCGGGGCCGCCTGCGGCGGGAGGCGGCGTCGGCCGTCGGCGGCGCCACGTGTGCATCCGAGCTGGCGCGGGGGAAGCGCGGAGCGGTGTGGTGGAGGCTGTAACTCGGCAGCCGTGGTACTGACATGCAGAAGTGCTCGAATGGCCGCCCCTGCCCGGTTGGCGGTGCGCAGGGAGCTGGTCCGTGAGCCAGAGTGAATGGAGCTCTCGCTGGCGCCGAGGTGGCTCCCGTCGGGCTGTTGCTGGTGGTAGGAGCATGTGGTGCCATGCTCCGAGCGGCTGCTCAGAATCGCGTTGCTCACCCCTGTGCTGCTGCTGCTGCTGCTGCTGCTGCTGCTGCTGCTGCTGCTGCTGCTGCTGCTGCCTGTCGCGAGGCCGGGGCTCGCCAGCAGGTCACTGCGGTCGAGGAACGGCTGAGCCGTATCCGACGCGCCGCGACTGGAGCTCTGCATCGACGATGCGTCCGCGATGCGGCTCGATGTGGGGCCCGTTTTCTCCGCGGCGGCGTCGCCGAAGCACCGCTGATGTCGCTGGTGCGTCGTTGGATCGTCGCCGATGCATCGCCGATGCGTCGAAGGCCTCCGCCCGAGGGCGCCGGTGGGGCCTCCGCAGGTGCTGCCGGAGTCGTCGGGCGTGTGCTCTTCGCGGCCGCTCGCGGCTGGCGCGGCGGGGCAGAGGCCCCGGGGCCCGGGGTCGCCCTGCTGCCTGGGCGGCGCGGCGTGCTGGGCGAGGGGCCGCAGGAGGAGGAGCAGCGTCCTCGGGAAGGGCGATGCGGGAGGCCTCCGTGGTGGCGGGGAGCACGCGCCGAGGGCTGGCCAGCGGTGCTCGCGGGAGTGGGGCCTCGGAGCTCGCAGAGGGCGCGGCTGGCGCCGACGGTCGTCGGTTGCATGCGTCGGCCCGGCGGAGGCCGCGCAGCAGCTGCGGCGAGGAGGCGCTGTGTTCGTAGGGTGGTCCACTCGACGTCCGCGCGAGGCGTCGGGGCGCTGCCGGCATCGATGTCCGCGCAAGGCGTCGGGGCGCTGGCAGCCTGCGCCTGCGTGCGAGGCGCCGCGTCCACGTCGTCCCAAGGATCGCGGGCCCCCTCTTGCAGGCGTCGGGCTGGGCCCGACGCTGGAGGGGAGGTGGCCGCGCTAGGGAGCCGGCCTTCCATCGCGGCGGAGTTGTAGAAGTCGAAGTCGGCGCGGGGCTGGAGGCTGGGCGCCCGGAGACGGGCAGCGCAGCCGTCTGTGATGTGGATGACCCATCGGGCGTCGGGGTCCTGGGCGACTGCAACGCCGTGTAGTCCGTTGATGGGGGTGCGGGTCTGATTGCGGACAACAGCTCTGGAGCCGACGCGGATCGAGCCTCCAAGGAAGACGTCGGACGCTGGCCTGCGAGGCGACGGGGCGCGCTGGGGGCGGCGGCTCCGCATGCGCCCGGCGGCCTCGTAGAGGTTCGGGTCCTGTCCGCCAGACCTCGCGCGGCGCTCGACCGTGGAGTGACTGGGCGCGGGCTGGGCGCCAGGGCCGAGGGTCGCGTCTGCTGGCGCGACGCCGGGCGAGTCCGCAGTGTTGGCGCCGTCGCTGGACGGCGTGGGGTCAACGTCAGCGTCGGGGGGGTTGGGGCCTCCGCGTTGGCGCCGCCTTGGAGGGGCGTCTTTAGCGTAGCTGCGGCGCCGTCCGGGTCGAGGGGCGTTGCAACCGTCACTGGCGCTTTGCATGGCTCTGGGTCGTCGAGAGTGTGGTGTGTGAAGGTGGCCTCGTCAGTGAGGGTGCTGGCGGCGTCGCCCTAGGCGACGGCGCTGCAGGCGAGGACTGGGACGTTGGCGGCGGGGCCGCGCGAGGCGGGAGCGACGTCAGCGGTGGTCTGGGTCGGGGCTGCTGCGTCAGCGCCAGCTGCTTCGGTCGGCCGGTCGCTCTCGTAGGGGTGCGAGGAGCGGGCGAGGCGACGGAGGCGACGATCGAAGGGCTGTGCGCGGCGGCCCGGCGGGGGCCACGTAGCAGCCGCTGCGGAGAGGCGGTGCGCTCGGAGGGTGGTCCACTCGACGTGCGCGCTAGACCGCCACCGTCCGGGGCGCCAAGTCAACGTCGTCCCAGGATTCGGCGTCCTCCTCCTGGCCGGCGCCGTACTGAGCAGGCGCTGGAGGGCGGAGTGACCGCGTTAGGGATCAGTGTTCCCTCCGCGGCGGCGCCGCGGGGGCCGAGGGGTGTTGCGAGCGTGGGTGGCAGTTCGCGCGGCAGGGGGGCAACGAGGGCGTGGGGCGTGGACGTGGCGGCCCCGTGCCGCGTCGCAGTTGCCGACGCTGGGTCGGTCGCGTTCGTTGCTGGCGTGCACTTCGGGGGCCGCGCCCGTAGGTGGCCCTCGGCTCGCCGTGAGAGCGACGGCGGCGTCGAGGGCCGTGTTGGTGTCCGCGGTGGGGTTGGCGGGCGCGCCAACCGTGGCGGCCCCCGCGTCGGCGGCGGTAGCACAGTCGCTGGGGGGGGCGGGGGTCGGCTGCGATGTCGAGGAAGGCGTCGGCGGTGGCAACGCGGAGCAGCACTGCTGTGGTATCCGCGACGCTGCGCGACAAGGTCAGCGCGGCGCCCTCGCTGGAGGGCTGCACTTCCGCGGTGTTGGCGTCGGCGCTGGGGGCGGCCGCCGCGTTGCGACGGCGGCGGCGTAGGGCCCGCCTGCGGTTGGCGGCGTTGGCAGAGCCCGGGGGCCGCTCTGCAGCGCCCGCGGCAGCGAGGCGCTGGGCTCCCGCGACGGCGCGACGCGGCGATCGAGTGTCGTCGTCGCCGCCGCCGTCGTCGTCGTCGTCGTCGTCGTCGTCGTCGTCGTCGTCGTCGTCGTCGTCGTCGTCGTCGTCGTCGCCCCCTTCTTCGTGGGGGTGGGGGCGGTCAGGAGATGGCTGAGCCACTGCTGGCGCCTGGCAATTCCCCGGCGCCCCGGGCAGCGGGGGGTCGCCGGAGGGCGCGGCGGCAGAGCCGCTCGGAGTGGCGCCGTCGTTGTCGTCGTCCTCCTCGCCGAGGCGGAAGGGGGCAGGGAAGGGCCGAGCCGCCCTTGCCGTACTCCTGGGGACGCCCAGCGCTGAAGGGAGGGTGGCCCTTCCCCGCGGCGAGGAGGCGTCGTCGTCGCCGTCGGCGCCCTCCACTCCATCCTCGGCGTGGGCGCGTGAAGGAGGGGGGTGGCGAGCGGGCAGGGGGCCGCGTTGGGAGCTGAGCTCCAACTGGGGCGCGGCGGCGAGGGGCGGGGCCCCTGTGCGGGCGTTGGCGGGTAGAGCATCGGGAAGATGATCAGCATAATGGAAAATTTCGGGGCTCATCGGGAGGTGCATCAGGAGCGCCACGGGCCGTCAGGACCTGGTGCATATGGCGCGCCAGGTCCTGCCCGCATACTGGCCTCAGCGGCGCGGTGTCCACGTTGCAGGCCTGGGGGGTCTTGTAGGCCTGCACATGTAACCCGAAGAGCATCGCCACAAATAATATGTTCGCCGGGAACAACATGTCGGTCTTGTAGTGCTTGTCGACCCGGGGAATCTTGGATATGGAAGGCCTCGACGCGGTCGCCGCCCCAGTCGAGCGCGAGAGGGCAGCGGCGCGCGCCGTGGCGGCACCTTGTTCAAGATGATGACGATGATGACGCACTTCCACCACGGCGGGGAACGCGCTGCTTACGGCTGCGCCATGAAGCGACGTGGAAGGCACGTGCTTCTGAGGGTAGCGCGTCGGAGGTTCTCTCGCAATCAAGGGGAGCTCGAGCCCGCGGCTAAGATATGTGTGTATGTATGCATGCATGCATGCATGCATGCATGCATGCATGCATGCATGCATGCATGTATGTATGTATGTATGTATGTATGTATGTATGTATGTATGTATGTATGTATGTATGTATGTATGTATATAGGTATGTATGTATGTATGCATGTATGTATGTATGTATGTATGTATGTATGTATGTATGTGTGTATGTATGTATGTATGCATGCATGCATGTATGTATGTATGTATGTATGTATATCTATGTATATATACATATATATATATATAGCTATAGGTTTTTCTTCCTTTTCTGGAGATGTGTAACATATGTATATCTATATGTATGTGTATGTGTATATATACACATATATATATAGAGGAATCAAGAAGAGAAATTAAGAGAGAGAGAGAGAGATAGATAGAAAGAGAGAGAGAGAGAGAGAGAGAGAGAGAGAGAAAGAGACAGAGATAACGAAATATACATGTAAACGCAGAGAGAGAGAGTGAGAGAGAGAGGGAGAGAGAGAAAGAGAGAGGGAGAGAGAGAAACAGAGACAGAGAGAGAGAGAGATCGACGATGGGTCGATCGGCCGTTTCAGAAACGCCAGATCGTTCGACGATGGGTCGATTCTGGGCAACAAGCGGCATGTCCCCTTTAAAGGCCCGCGCGGGGGTCGCCGCCAATCGACACGACGCGAACCTACCGTACTTCTCTCATCCCTCTGCCCCCCGTCCGCGTCCTTTTCCTCGCGCTCACCCTCCGGCTCACTCGCCGCCTGATCTTCCTGTGCAAGCACCTTTTGTTTCTCGCGGTTGCGCACAACACGATGTGGCCTCTCGGTTGGAGTTGTAGGTCGGCCATGACACGCGTCCGCGGATAGGGAGAAGACGTCTGCGCAATGGGAAGGGATGGGAGAGAGGGATAGGATGTCAGATATGGCGTGAGAGCAGCTAGCTTGCCCCCCCCGCCCTCTGCCCTTTCCCCGCTCCCTTGCACGTGCCACCTCCCCCCTCTGCCCCTTCCCCGCTCCCCACCCCGTGCCCGCCCGCGCCCCGTGGGCCCCTCCTCCTCGTCCTCCTCCAAGTCGCCGCCTCTCCTTTTGTTCGCTCGGCTTGGTTGGCGCCTCGTGCCTGTCTCTGGGCAGCGCAGGGCGCTGCCGCCACAGACGCGACCCATGCAGTCAGAGTTCCCTGCTCCTCCTCCTTCTCCTCCTCCTCATCCTCCGCCTTCTCCTCTTCCTCTTCGCCCCTCGCCTCCGTTCCCCCCCCCTCTTGACGACGACGAGGAGGACGAGGAATAGGGCCTCGCGGACCGCTGACAGGCACTCCGTGGTCAGCATGTGCTGTCCCTGCGACGCGTCTGCGTCGGCGACGCAGACCTCTGGCGGGCCAGGTGACAAGCAAGCGCATAAACATGCCATGGAGCTGCAAGCCCACGTGGTTGAATTTACTTGCGGAATATCTCTGGAGGCCACACGCCGGGCACACATGCGGACGCCCGGCGTACCTGGCCATGGAAGGGCCGAGTGCTGTAAAGGCATCTGGCCACATAGTCATCCAGCTCTCGCCCAGGACGGCTGCATTACGTGTATCGCTTCCAGGTAAACTGTGGTTTGTTCTTGCGTCCCAACAACGGACCAAACATCACTCACAAAGCACAGTCGGAAACCGGATGCGGGTGGAACTCGCAGAGCCACTTGTCAGCTAAGCAGCGTCAAAGGAGGAGGGGGAGGATGAGGATGAGGATGAGGATGATGATGATGAGGAGGAGGAAGAGGAGGAGGAGGAGAAGGAGGAGGAGAAGGAGGAGGAGGAGGAGGAGGAGGAGGAGGAGGGGGAGGAGTCACACGACCTCAAGGTCCGCACAACTGTTTTTAGCTGCGCTGGACCTGGGCCCCCCTCGAAGGCGCGCTCCGCACGCCATGGGCTGCCCCGGAGGCGCCGCCACGGGGGTCCAACGCCGATCCAAGAAATCCTCGGGGAGATTCGGATGCTTATGCCGATTAGGCCCCTCTTGGAAACATGTCGATGCCGATTGTTTTCTCCGAGAAGAGGCGGGCGGGAGGAGGAGGGAGAAGGACAAGGATGGAGCGAGGGAGGAGGAGGAGGAGACGGAGGAGGAGAAGGAGGAGGTCGAGGAGGAGGAGGAGGTCGAGAAGGAGGAGGGGGAGGAGGAGGAGGGAGAAACACAAGGAGTGCAAGGAGACTCCCGCCTCTCCCTCGGAGAAGTTGCCAGGGGTGATCCTGGCCCAAGGTGCCTCCAGTTTTGTGTTTCGCGCCGTCCTGGAACTCCTGGGGCCCCCGTGGGCTTCGTGAGGGCCCCCCTCCTCCTACTCCTCTTCCTCTTCCTCCTCCTCCTCCTCCTCCTGCTCTTGCTCCCCCTCTCAATTTCCTCTCTCGGAGCCCCGTCTCTCGATTTTCTCTCATTCTTAGGCGGTAGGAGCAGAGTGCCAGAGCACTAGCTTTCGGAGTACCATCAGGGAGCAGCAGGGGGAGGAGCAGGGAACCGCATCGGGAAGCGACCAACTCAACTCAACTCGGCTCAATTCAACTCAACTCAACTCCTCCCCCTCCTCCTCCTCCTCCTCCTGCTCCTCCTTCTCCCCTTCCTCCACCCCTGGCAACTCCCGCGCTCTCTGCTCTTGCCGCAGTGGGCCAACCCAGAAGTCACTCTCCGCCCTCTCCAGATCATGTCCAACGGTGCCGTCGCGTCTCTCGCGTGTTGTCTTTCGTCGCGCACAGGATCTCAAACGCTGTTCTTTCACACGTGCTTATTCGATCTAAACGTTCCTGGTCCTTC